TTTTTCATAAATAGGCTGAGAGGGTATCTGATTTTTTTCTCTACTCCGCAGACGATTCACACAGCAAACTATATATCATATGAAAGCTACGATCAAGAGCTTTCGTTTAAGCACTCTTTTGGCTGCAACTATGATCAAGGGCTCGAGTTAGCCTCGATGGACAGTTTTCGCGGAAACGGGGCGGAGGAGGTAAAATGCGAAGTTGACGGTGAAAAACAAAAAAGTTGCAAAAAAACGTTCTATTTTTGGAATCCTCGCCAGAAATGGGTTCTAAAAACGTTTGGTTGGAACCTCCGAGCGTCTGCGGAGGGCAGACATTTTTCAAACTTGACGGGGTGTCCGTTGCTGCCAGATCTGCGACGGACCATGGTGGTTGAACATGAACTGCTGCAGCTTGTGCGGGCAACTCTGCCAGCTGAATATGACCTCGGAGACGTCGAGATGCACAGATCGGCTCAAAAGAAGTACCGCGTTGGTCTGAAGGCAAGGCACAGCAGTCAGCCGTTACTTCAGTGGTACAGCAGCACCATCACCACGAAGTGTGCACGCGGCAGAAACAGAGACGCCGAGTCCCGAGCTTTGGGAAGCATCAATAGAGAAACATGGCTAGACCTCGCTGGAAAGACTTCCCAGCGTGCAGCGGTCCAGACACCACCCCCGCGAGTTATACCGGCCGTTAGATCGGCCTGTCCTGCACCTGGTTCGCTACGAGAACCTGGCGCTGGCGGCGCGGAGAGATTGCGAAGTGCAGGGTGTGGCGGTGCAAGAGAGGGCAGCGGACGGCCAAAAGGAGCACTGGGAAAAGCAGCCCGGCGAGAAAGAGCAGCCTGTCCTGCACCTGGTTCGCTACGAGAACCTGGCGCTGGCGGCGCGGAGAGATTGCGAAGTGCAGGGTGTGGCGGTGCAAGAGAGGGCAGCGGACGGCCAAAAGGAGCACTGGGAAAAGCAGCCCGGCGAGAAAGAGCTGTGCAGCTGCGCGAGGAACTCGTGAACGCCTTTCCGGACGCACTCAACCTGAGCCCGGGGAAGCTGCAAGAAACGCTGCAGGCGTGGAAGGAGTTTGAACCTGAGTGGTCCGAGGAGGCGATGAAGAAGTACTTGAAGAAGGGAACCTACAGCAAGTCCCAAGCGAGGAAGAAGATCAAGCTCGCACGCGATGCAGAACTCAAAGCAACTGCGGGTAAGGCGGCGGCGTACGAGTTTCGTGCAGAAAGCATGGACTACTTCAGTTCCCTGCTGAAGAATGCAACGAACGCCATCAGCAGAGCAGCGGAACAGGAAGACGTGAGTGCTTCGGGTACATGTACTGCTGCTGTTGTTGCTTTTTTTGAACCTGCTCTTCCTCCGCCTCTGCCGTGTGTTACTCTGGTTTTCTTATACTTTTTTTGGGTGGTTTGAGAACCAAGCTGCTGCTGAACCAAGCTGCTGCTGCCATTGCACTTGTGACACCGTCCAAACGCACCTCTCGTACAACACTGCTGTAGCAACTTGTGCATCCAACAAACTGACTGCTACTGTATGATACCACAAGCATGAGAAATGTTGTGGCGTGTCGTTTGTGTCCACAACAGCTGTGTATTCATCACCATCTCTTCCCCGCTCTATCTGTTTCCCCCAATGATACCACAAGCATGAGAAATGTTGTGGCGTGTCGTTTGTGTCCACAACAGCTGTGTATTCATCACCATCTCTTCCCCGCTCTATCTGTTTCCCCCACCCGCCCCACAGGAGGCCAGCGCAGCGGACCTGTCCAGCTACCAGCTGGCACACGTGGTCCAGGTAGCCATGACGCTGACCCATCTCTACACCCTCCAGAACGATGACGTCGCCCGTGACGATGCAATCAACATCGCCGCACGCGTGGCACGGCGGAGCGTTAAAACGGTGAACGGGTGGGAGCGTGACTTCATATCACTCGGGGGCATCAAGACGCCGGAGAGAGGTTGCGTCGATCGAAAATTTCTGCCGGAACTCGACGAAGGCGTCAAGGAAAAGGTTCACCAGTGGATGCTAGTAAACTGCGGAATACTGAGCGGGGAAGCCAACAAGACGGCGGAAGACTTCCGCAAGTTTGTCAACGAGGAGATCATGCCCCAGCTGGAAGGGCTGGCGACGGAAGACTTCAACCCATTCAAGGGGTTGAGAGTGCAGCTGGAAGAACAAGAAGCAAAAGACGGCAAGCCCCCCGAGCCTCCCAAGCGTGTCATCTCCCTTTCTACAGCAACGACATGGCTGAAAAAGCTAGGGTGCGAGTACCACGGCGGCAAGAACGGCCTCTACTTCGATGGACATGATGATCCGGAAACCATCAACTACCGAAACAACGAGTTCCTGCCGGAATTGTGGAAGGTTCGCGACCACATGGAAGTGTGGATTTCGGTCACGAACGAAGAAGCGGTTGACTGGGACATTGATGTACATCAAGTGCCGGAGGCCGACCGCTTGCCGGATTCTAGTGGTGTCTGGGTGTGTGTCGACGATCTAGAACAAGCGTTGGCGGATCTGCCAGAAGATCTGCAAGCCAGAGTACAGAGCAAGAAAAAATACCCAGATGGGAAGAGGGCCTTGCTTCTTTACCAGGACGAGAGCATATTTCGAGGTTAGTGGGCAGTCAAGTACTTTTTTTCGTAAAGTTGCGGAACTATGTGGGCGATTTTAATTGTTACTGCTGTTTGCCGACCACATGCTTTCGTTTTATGTTATTTCGCGCGTGTGCTCACTAAGGCGTCAAGGAAAAGGTTCACCAGTGGATGCTAGTAAACTGCGGAATACTGAGCGGGGAAGCCAACAAGACGGCGGAAGACTTCCGCAAGTTTGTCAACGAGGAGTTTTCGTAAAGTTGCGGAACTATGTGGGCGATTTTAATTGTTACTGCTGTTTGCCGACCACATGCTTTCGTTTTATGTTATTTCGCGCGTGTGCTCACTGTGGTTTCCTTGGCCGCCTTCCGTTTTCTTTTCGTGCAACAGCCAACGACGATCAGAAGTATGCGTGGTACAGGCGGGAGCAGCGGGTAGTGACGAAGAAGTCACCCGGCCAGGGCATCATGGTGTCAGGAACGATCATCCACAACGTGGGCTTCTTTTCGGCGTCGCCGGCCCAGATAGACCAGGCCAACCGCAACCGGAAGATGCGCTGCCGGGAGTCAGCTGCTGCAGCTCGACGAGGGGAGAACGTCAAAGAGGAGAAGTACCGGGCTATCGACATGCTGCATGTCGACGAGGACGGAAACTCCTGGTCCTACCATCTCTTCGAATACGGCAAGAACAAGGAGGGGTACTGGACTGGCCTCAAAATGTTGGACCACATGAACGACGTCCTGGACATGGTGGGAGTCCTCTACCCTGAATACAAGCCGGTTTGCCTATTCGACTGGACGTCTTGCCATGACTGCTTGGAGGTCGGCGCGCCGAGGGTAAGCGGCATGAACGTGGGGTTCGGTCAGATGAGGAACGGAGAAGAGCTAGCGCCGATGGATGCCGTGACGATTCTGGAAGAGTGCCCGGGCTTCAAAGTCGGCGACACACAGCACTTGGTTTTCCAGCGGGGGGACGACCCGCCCTTCTACGCCCAGCATCTTAGACCGGCGGAGTATGTGGGGAAGCTAAAGGGTATGCGGCAGATCCTGTTCGAAAGGGGCCTCCTGAGGGCGGGCATGACGAAGACGGGGGGCAAAGGCGAAAAGAACGACCCCATCTTGAGCATGGAGCATGTTCTGGGAGAGCAAAAGGACTTCAAGCAAGTTGAATCTAGTCTAGTGCTGCTGCTCCGGCGGCAAGGGGGGGTCTGCATGATGCTCCAGAGCATGTTCTGGGAGAGCAAAAGGACTTCAAGCAAGTTGAATCTAGTCTAGTGCTGCTGCTCCGGCGGCAAGGGGGGGTCTGCATGATGCTCCCCAAGTATCACTGCGAGTGCAACCCCATCGAGCTCTGTTGGGGCCGTGCGAAGGACTGGACACGCAAGAAGTGCACGTATTCGTTCGAGGGGTTGCGCAAGAACGTGCCGTTGAGCTTTAGACCGGAGAAGGACAGACAGGCGGTTGCGGTAGTGCAGGGATACTGCAAAAAGGCGTACACGCATGCCCTCGTGTACCTCAACGCGCGTGCACTTGGGCCTGAGGGTCAAAAGATGTACAAGAAGTTCAAGTCGCACAGGCGCCCGACGCCGAAGATGTGGAGGGAGTAGAGCGACACGCGTTTTTGTTGACGATTTCAAGACTTTTTCGCATGTTTTTTCCACGCGTTCTCCAGTTTCCCCGCTCAAATTGGTGGATTTTGACGGCGAAAAGGTACAAAAAAGACCCACCCGGACACATCATGTGGTGGTAGCCATAGCTAAAGGTAGTGGCGGGAGGGTACGTGCATTTACGTGGGGATCCGGGGTGGGGAACACGCTTGCAAAAAGAAAAAAAAAGAGAACGGGAAAAAGTAACGGGAAAAAAAAAAGGGCCCACGTCAAAAATTAGGAGAAAAAAGGACCAGGACCGGGGTTCGAGCCCCGGCAAAAGTGACTTTTTTTTTTTTTTTTTTTTTTTTTGCTCTCAACCCCTCTACCCGTCTCCGCCTCGTCGCGGGCGTACGATATGTACCTTTTTTATGAATTTCTGACACTCCAGTCAAAAGTTATGGAGGGACGACTCTCAGCCTATTTATGAAAAATACCACTGTAACAACATGAGAGGGTTCATGACCTGAGAGGGGTTTTCATTCACTTCGAAGCTCGTACGCTGTGAGCGAACGTCACCGGAAACAACCACTACTGCTGTAGAAGTGCATACTTCCATAAGCGGGTGGGCGATGTGTGCCCTCACAGCAGTAGATAACATAGATGTACATACATACATAGACAACATGCGTTGCACTTTACATTGACTATTACGTTGTCGAACTAAAGCACTTTCTGCGTGAGAACTACTACCACGTCGTCTTCAGTGGAGGGTGTTCGGCTCAAATGACAATAGAAGATGTAATTCATCTATGGCCCAGATCCACACGGAAAAGGAAGACGGGGCATCCTGCGCTTCATATTTTACCCGAGTCCCTCTCTTTGCTTCGTCTGAGGGGGAACCATCAGGGCTCGACGACAGCAGCGGCACATGACACAACCAGATAGATATTGTAACACATCCATTCGCTGTGTTAACGGAGTACAAGTATACACTACAGTATTCTTCTCCTTCGTATTTAGTGTAGATTGGGCTTCGAAACGATTCAAGTGCTAAGCTACCAAGCTCTAGGCCCATCCACGGATTCCTCCGTGAAGATCCAAACAATACCCCCTGGCGCCCAATCACGAACCGTCATTTACGTTTCCCCATTTGCTTCAATCGTCTTCAAACCAAACCATGGTTCTCCGAAAAAAAGCTCACATACAACAGTCTACATGATTCAAAACAAGCCATTTTACCTTCAAACAGTGATATGGAACCCAAGGGCCTCTGTTCAACAAACCCGCCAACTCCCGCTCCCACCGGCTGCGTAGAAAGTTTTGGTACAAGTGCAGCTCCGAAAAATCTGCATCCCAAAGGAGCAGGGGTAAAGTTGGGCCCGATCACACCAAGGAGGCTCGAAGCCTATCACGCACTCGTACAACCACGGGAAGGAATCTCTGACACATGGAAACAAAACATAAAAACGCTGTATCGCGTGGGTCACACTCAGTGGCACGCAGCCAAGCCTGATGCCATTCTGCGGTCGAGAACATGGCCTCATCTCCGCCGGCAGAAGTCGTAGTAGCAGTCGGCGGGGGCTCCACGCCACCGTCTGCGGAACTCGGGGCCATGGTGTCATCTACCCCGGCCGAAGTCGTGGAAGCAGTCGGCGCGGACGACACGCCACCGTCGGTGGCAGAGGACGCCATGATGTCATCTACGCCGGCGGAAGTCGTAGTAGCAGTCGGCGCGGCGGGCGCAGTGGTCTCAGCCCCGCCGCCGCGGCCTGCGACAGGCGTGTCCGTCCCGAAAGCGGCGGCCGGGGCTGGTGTCGTGTCGCCGCCGTTGGTGATGTCGCCGCTGCACGTCCAGCCCCCGTCGCATGCCTCTGTCGGGTCGTAGAAGTACTCGAAGAACTCGAAGGTAACCGGGTCGCTCAGGCAGTCGATGCCGGAGACCTCGTTCAAGCAGCACGCCAGCTGCTCCGTGTACTCGCATGAGCCGATCTCGGCGCCGATGCCCGCCAAGCAGTCCACGAAAGAATTGCCCGAGGTGAAGAAGGTGCACTCGGTGCAGACGTCACTCTCAACTGAGAGACAGGTTGTTGGCGGGGGGGAATTCGACAAGGCAGGGATCAACATACTAGTACTGCTACAGCTGTTGCGTTGGAAGAAACGGCTCTTCGGTGCGTTTGATACTCTTGTGTACCTGTCGTGTTCACCTTGCGTCATGAACCCTTCATCTCCAGCGCTTGCAAGGGGTGTGACAAGAGCCATGTGCTATTCAAGGCTCTTCTAAATAACCTAAAACGCAACATGGAGGGATCTGACGCCGAGGCGGAATAAACGTACGTTCTGCAGGAGTACCACTACATTCAACAGGCGAAAATCCGCGAAAAAGCTCGATTTTCACGCTTTTTCGAAGTCCCGGCAGCGAGGGGTGAGCGCTTCTCTTCCGGGTCCCGCGCGACGAGGCTTTACCCTCCCCTGGGGTTACGAGTGGGGTTTTTCAATCCAAACGCTACAATACTCCTATTTTCTAACACACACCGCATTGATATGGTGCATATCTGCTACGCAACTGCGATCTTGAAAAAATGTGTCTCAACAATGTGCGAAGCGACATGGTGATGCGTTCCAAAAGCAAAGCGAGAAGGTCGTGTGTTCGCAAAAAATATTGAACTCGACGCTGGCGGGCTCCACCAGTAGTGCTTCATACCAAGTTATTTTCTGCACCAAGCAATGCTCCCCGTGCACACCTATTCGTTTAAAGGGGTGGGTGGGTTCGTCGGCGTGATTATCACGCCGTTTGGAGCACTGGGGGGCGGTCAGCATTCTGCACCCCCCCACTCCATTTGATCGAAAGCAAACAATACTCAGCGTGCCCGAGTTTCGCAAGTTGCACTCACCGCATGCCTGTGAGGGTGCCGTGCAGTCTCTCTGCGCGTCGGCGTGCAGCACGACCACGATAGCGGCTACCAAGAGGTAGAGCGACGCGAGGCGAGGGTGGGTTGCTGGAGTGCGTGCCATGACTGGAAAAGAAGGCCGGTCTTGGGAAAAAGAGAGCAGAGTGTTGTTCTGTGTGAAGCAGCAACAGCAGCAGCACAACAACACGAAGGCGGAGGATTTAATTATGCGCACGCAGTGACGGCCTTATACGGCAACAACAAGCACACATACACACGGATGTTTCGAGCTAGAATGTCAAATCGCTAACGTTCACGTCGGTGGCTCATCACACGCCGGTGGCTCATCATTGGGTGTTGACACCGTACAGTGACAAAACGGCGTTGAAGGGTGTATCACAACTGGCACAGCTCAGGATAAAGCGTTACTGAAATACAGGGAGGCAACTCGTAGGGTCACTGGCACGCGAAATGTAACAACAGAGAGAAACAAACGTATACAGCCCGCTAACGGTTCAACCGGCATCATCACAATAGCAGTCTGTGATAAGGCAGCTTCAGCAAAAATATCGAGAGAAGAAGTGCGACCACGGCCACACAAAGGGCTAAGCGTAGCGTTGCTGTAAGACAACAGAACGGTGATTTCACACCCTGAGCACCAAAACCCCGGCGACAAGACAGGGCCAAGGGTGAGAGAAAGAAAACGTCGATGCAAGAAACAGTGACACAGGAAAGGTGCGGAGAGTGGTAGGTGGTCATCCCAAGCGACAAATAATACTATTGTTCTGTCCTCCGGCACGAGGGAAGTTGATATCGTCGGGTTTGCTCAGCGTTGTAGCTTGAGCGGCTAGCGATGAATGGTCCATGAAGCGCGGGTTGTGCTTGGTCACGATCGACCAAGCGCAGGGGAGAGGCAGCGATTCTCGATTCCCGAAGAGAGAGGAGTGCCCGAGCACACAGAGCATGGCAATATTCTTTGCGCCCATAATTCGAGTCGATGACCGAACAAACTGGACTGACTGCACTTGTAGCGGACATGACAACATCCCGGGATTCCGTGAAACAAAAATAGGGCAACCAACGCTTGACAGGTGGGCCTCTACATTTTCTTGTTCTGTCGGAAGCACGAGATGGTCGATCGTTGAAAGGTATGCGCACGAACAACAATTTTCAGGCCACAGCGCACCAGCTCGGGTTCTGCTGTAGACTACGCACACAAAACCCTAATATATGGCACAAGTTTGAAAATTCGACACCGGAGCAACGCGCGGCTCATCGTCCAACAACCCAAAATGATCATTGAACATAAATACATACACACGAGATAACAAAATTGTTGTTAATTTTTGGTCCAAGATCGGACAACATTTGGCCACCAGTGAGCGCGACAGAGAAACGCTCGACCAACATGACGACACTATTTACACCCTCCCAGGCAACGAGCCTCCGGAGGGTGGCTACATTAGTCTTCATCCCAGACGGACACCGACAAAGAAGGGGTACCTCGCAAAAAAAAGGCTAGCCGGTCGTCGTCTTTAGAGACAAGGAAGGAAGTGCGCTCGTGGTAAAACCGCTTGCCTGGCTTCTCTCAGACGACCGAATGAAAAAAATGGGTGGTGGAATGAAGGGCGTGCGTCCGCGGCAAGCATTTCAACACACGTAGGCCCACCAATTAATCTGAAAGCAGGGTGAGCAGGGGGGTCTTGGGCTGGGAAAGATAGGAGAAATCCGTGGAAAAATATTGGAGAACCTCAAAATAAGCAAACGGTCGTCATCTGGTGCTTTGAATTTCCGAATCCGACTGCGAACAACCACAGCTAGCTGTGAGTGAAAGTCATCAAAGCATCCCACAATGAATTGCTCAATTTGGACAAAGCCCGGAAATTTGGGAAATTTCGGGATTGTCACCGTTGCAAAAAATGAAATCGGTACCCACCACATTATTACAAGCGACGTGAAATGAAAATCACATTCTCCGCGTTGTGATCCATGTAATACTTTTACCTCACTATTCTACAGTAGTAGTATATATGTGTACGTAGCAAAGCAAAACAAAAACTCACTGGGTGTTCGAGTACGCCCCTCCCCCCGACCCCCTGCAGTAGCTTACGCCCTCCCCTTGCTTAAGCGCCATTTTTTACTTGCGGGCCCCCCTCAGGCATTAGGGGCCCCAACTAGCCCTTGCGGGCCCACACCCTACATACGTACCTGCTCATATCTGATGGGGCGTACGTACGTCCATGTACCTGCTCCGCAACACGTAATTTATTATCGTCCAGATGCAAAGACTCTGTCCCTAACGGGTAGTATCGCCAGTTTAAAGGAATGCCCGCCCGACGGTGGCTTGCCTCCTAGATGTAGTAGATGGATGTAGATTCTGCCGTAGACACTCTTGTCCACGAGCACGTTGAGATGGGAAGGTTGCTTGTTATTGCAGAAGCGGGTCTGCTACAGGTCTGAGGTGAGGCGGATTGCCCTCAACCTGGGGGCACGCAGATAGCTAAGTCCCGATGGGGTACGTCCTAAGAGGGTATACCTCCTGACGTCCCCCATCTTAATCTAGACCGACTGTGTACCCTATCTGTGCCATACAGCAACACTCCTTAACACTAGCCCACCCTGAAGATCATCTATACAGATTCTATACTCAAATCCTAGGGCTACTAAAAGCTGATGATTTAGGATCATGAATCGAAAGATATGACTCTTCACAAGTGTATCCAAAGGAAAGAGGAGCTGTAAGAATATCCCGACTCGACCCCCCACACCACCATTGAGACAAAAGGTGATTCCGATGACGCGGAAACACAACTAGTGGCGACTCAATGATAAGGTTATACCCATGGAGGGATATAGCTAGGCAAGATGTGCTGCAAAGCACCATGTTTTAACACAAAAAACAAAATAAATCAATATCAACGCCACACACCACTCTATTTCGCGCGCAAGCGCGTATTACGACTGGAGGAATGAGGGTGGCGACACAAGAGAGTCCAGAATTACTCCCGCAAAATTCAGTGGGACAGGACGACGGGCACACTACGGCTGAATGCGCTGACCACAAAAGGTAAGACTGAAGAACGTTCATGGCCAAAACGGAAGAGAGGCGTTAATTGCCACCCCAACCAAACTGCACAAAGAAACGTGGAGTCCAAACCATGTAAAACCAATGGCTGGACGAGGCACGAATGATCAAAGTCGAAAACTAATGCGACTAGCCACCCTATATCTCGCACAGACGGGCGATGATGAAACACAAACACACAACACATAAACAGAAAACACATAAACATGCATACAACATTTGAACTCGGGATCTCGACTATGATGATGTAGTCGACGCCAGGAAGTGACGATGGCGGAAAGAAGTCCAGTGAAGTGGGCGATGGCGAACGTCGATGAAGGCCGCAGGGGAAGGGGACGCAACGGAATAGAGGTCCGGAGCATGGGGCGTAGTCAACCCATCTCGTGATGACCAGGCTACAGAAACAAAGGTGGCAGTTGGAAACGACGGAACTTGGGGAACTCTTTTTCCAAGTATCCAGAGGCAAACGTCACCGACGAAACGTGGGGAACTCGTTTTCTAAATGTCAAAGGCAAACAACACCACCCATGCTTCGACTACTTCGAATCGTCGACGATGCCGATTGTTGAAAGCAGCGAAAAGTCAACTAACTGACGAACGCACAAAAAAAAATATACTTTTATATCGTATCCAGGTTGCGGCAATCGATAGACGAAGTGCAAGCAACAAGGAAGAAGCACAGAGAAGGACACGTCCAGGTCGCGGCGATCCACGGGCAGACGCAGGCAGACAAAGAATAACGACATCAATCACAATCCAGAACGGGGAACTCAACCAAAACATACTCGAAAGGGAGAACGCTCGCCTTATTCCGCCAGCAACGGCGGTGGACTACGAAACGATCAAACAGAACACT